TGCAATGACTAAGAATTCACCAGCTGCAATGACTAAGAACTCAAAGTTCATCTGTGGTATGAACAGAAAAACACAAACTCCAGAAAAGTGATCCCCAAGTCCTCTGTGTGTCAAACATTTGTATGCATTACATACATCTACTTCAAAACTCTGCCATTCTACACCTAACATCTTCTAAACATTTAACAGTCTGCAAATATGGCTTTGGTAAAGCTGTGTCACTGACTTTTTTTTAGCCAGGAGCTGCCTTTGAAACAGGCAGAAGGCAGAGATCTGGCTTTCAGATGGATTTGCTTCTCTACATCTTGCTTCTTTTCTGGCCCTTTTAACTGCTAAGAAAGGATGTAGAAAGCAACAGACTAATACGTGGTCACACTAAATGGAGGCAAGTTTAGCACTCTGTACAGGAGGCACTTTTTGAGACTCCAATAATTTGGAGGTTGTCCTGGCTGTTTGAATGCTAGGCAACTCTAAACCAAATATTTGTGTGCAATTATATATGAACATGAAACAGCTGCTGTTTTAGCTGAAATTAATGTGTGCCTAATCTTGGAACATGCAACAGACATTATTCTAACCAGATGCCTTTGTGATTGCTTAGAAGGTAGCACTTGGTGCAATAATCTAAATCAAACAGTCCCTGGCTAATAATGTATTAGGTGGCAACAGTGCAAATTGCCATGGAGTGCTCTAGTTGCACATGGCATGGCATTGCCTGGAAAATGTACAGCAGCTGAAAACAGGAAATTCATGGTGGCTCTTCTATTTCTTCCCTTGAAAATACTCATATCAGTTCTAACTGATGCCATGCCATCTCTCTACTTTAAAAAAGGAGCCAAAATCAGACTCCTTTCACATACCCTGAAAGAAGGCAGCTTTTACAGTGAAAATGTTACAGCATGACAGTTCAGTTAGATAGGATTTTATAGATACAGTATCTCCAGCTGCAAAAGTGTTCTTCTCATTTCACTCATTAGCCTGCTGTCAGGATTTGATTTTTGGGATGGTTAGCTAGTGAAGAGGAACAGAAGTATTTGAACTCTGGTACATTTTGAGCAACACTAAGTGAGACAACGTTTTCTGGTGATCCACAACAATGTACTTTTAACACATGGAACAATTTTGTCTGCTGAGGACATGCAGTTTAATCTTTTTCTTTTTTCCTTTATTATCCTCTTCTAATAAGCTTGTTTTATGTCTTAGAAAAATTATTATGATTCACTAATATGATTAGTCCTTAGGCATTCAATCTCTTATTCTTCCATTACAGAATTAAGACATTTGAAGACAAAATAGATGTGTGGAAGTTCACACATGACTGAACTAAGTATGCTTCAACTGAAGTACAGAGATTGTGAAGAAATTATAAGGCAGGACTTGATCTGTAGATAAATGAGGTTACCAAAACTCCACCTGAAACCTAGAAAAGGAAAAAACATTATTTAAATCAACTAGCATTTCTAGTGCAAGATACCCCCGCTTTTGCCATGTTGTATTCTTTGCTGAATAACAGTTTTCATAAGCAATTAATTCTCTGTTCAGCTGACACCCTTTTTTTTCTGTGCAGGGCCTTAACATTTGAAACAGATTGTTTCAAATTATTAAATGCTAACAGTATTACTTAATGACAATGTTAAAAAAAAGCCCATTACATTAACACATCTCATTTTCCTTTCTTCTATAATATTTTATAACTTGAGCTAGTTGGGAATTTTCAATATAAATTTCCTTTCTTTTATTGCATTAAGTATCAGCCTGAACACTAAATCAATATAACTATGTGAATTGAATAAATTGTTTTTAATCTAAAGATACATCAGAGTTATTACACATTTTAAATACTTTTTTCCCTTGGCAATCTACAGTTGTTTTAAAAATATCTGTAGCATATAATTTGTCATAAATTCTCAAAGTGACTTGTCAGCACTGGCACTCCCTGTCAAACTTACATCAATGCCTTGTCACACGGCATGAAGTGACATAACTCAAAGTGACGGAATGAGGTTTATTGGAAATTTCTGTTAAATAAAGCACCAACTATTCAGATAATTCACCCTTTTAAAGAACACCAAGGAGAAGTAGTTTTCAGTTTTGAAGTGCAACAACTAGGCAGCTATTACATACCTAAGTGTTACAAGTTTTAAATTATGCTCTCTTACTTTTCTGTGCAAGCTTATTTAGTAATTTTCAAAATATTTGCTAGGTGATGAAATTAAAGCAGAGCACTGCCATTAGCAGTGATAAATTGAGATAGAAACTGACCATCAAGCCTTTTTCCCATGCTGAGGTTCACAGAATCAGTTTCATTAGGGTTGGAAGGCATCCCTGGAGATCATCCAGTCCAATGTTCCTGCCAAGGCAGGGTCATCTAGAGCAGGTGACACAGGAACCATTCAGGTGTGTCTGGAATGTCTCCAGAGGAGACTCTGTGCTCTCCCTGGGCAGCCTGTTCCAGTGCTCTTCCAACCTCCACATAAAGAAGCTCCTCCTCACGTTGAGGTGGAACTTCTTGTGTCTTTGCTTATGGCCATTACTCCTTGCCCTGTCACTGGGCAAATCGCTTCTGCAAACCAGCCCAGCAGCCTCCACAGCCAGGCCCAGGCTGCTCTCCACTGTGTGTCTGTCTGTCTTCTTCACCTTTGCTCTGGATGCACCTCTAGGGTTCCCTGCATGGAAATCTGTTGCTGGAATAACACAGCTTAGGACCTGTAAACTTCAGATAGTCCTGGATTAACATGCATGTCTAAATACAGCTGATTTTCCAACCCAGACTTCTAAAGTCTGGAGACTGCATTTGGAATGTAATTTTTTAGGTGGATTGCTGGTTTTGCTACAGCGTAGGGAAACAGGGTTAGGAAACTTCTGCTTCCATTTTTGTTTCCTTCGTGGAATCTGATGAGCTGGTAGACCCTAGTGCATGTTTATATGCACAATAAAACAACAAAGCCATAGCACTCTGAACAAAGCAGCAGTTTCCTGGTACCGCTCATGAAAACAATGAGATCCCAAATGGTGAGTTAGCTTCAGGACATGTGCTTAAGGCTATCACAGTGACCTATTCCATGATAAGACAGCTCTGTAGCCTGCTGTGGTTGTTTTTGCAGCAATTTTTAATTTTAGTTTGTGCTTATTTTTTACATTTTTGGTTTAAACCAGTTGTTCAGATAGAAGCAAATGCAGCCACGTAATGTAGATTGTACTGACTTGGCATTTGGAAGTGTGCAAAAAGTTGTGATTGACTGGCAGCTGGTGAAGAAGAATTCATGTCAAATACAATACAGAATGCACACAATAGCACAAAATCTCGTTTAACTTACTTGCCTTGCTCTCCTGCAATTTTGTCTTTCTTGTCAGATAAATGCTAGGGGTTTTTGAATATAAATATGTGGACATGGCGTAAGCAAAATTACTTCAATTTTCAACCAGCTTTATAAACTGATCCATTATAAACAGGAAGACAAGGTCCATTTGATTTTTTTTTTTTCAGATTTACATGTATGTGTTTGTCACTGATGAATTGAGATTCATCAGCTTTTCATCTAGTGCCTTAACGGCAAAGAAGAAAAACATTGTGAGGACTGGAATTGCACTTGATTAGTTTGCAGATGCTGCTAAACTGGCAAAAACGGTGGAACACACCCTCCAACTTCAGCAACTCATTTTGGGAAACTACAGATCATTTAGTGTAAAAAACAAAAGCGGGACAGAACAGACTGCATAGAGATAAGCATCTTTGAACCAGTATCAAGGCTTGTGGAAAGGAGCAGATGTTCTCACGCCTTCTGAGAGATGTTCTTCACAGTTTCTCTTCTGAATATCTGGTAGATAGTCCATTACAACTGAGATAGTGCAAGAGTGCATATTTGCATAGGATTCCTTGATGACTCCACAACTTGACTTCACTTCGAAGAATCTTGAAATGCAAATTTCCTTGTTTCACTATTAGCAGCATATAAACTTTGCAATCGATTTCTTTTTTCTTTTTTTTTTTTTTTTTTAGAACAAGGCTCTCAAGGCCACTTTCTCTGAAAAGGCAGTGTCATGAACTTCATGGATACACTGGCACCTCCTTTTTATTTCAACTGAAACTACAACTTAGGACTTGTTTTGGACCTCATAGTAATTACATCATCAACAAAACAAATTCTGACTGTTACTCAAACAGTTGCAAAGGGCTGGGGGCTGGCAGCTGGCACCCCAGACAGTTGGCACCCAAAATAAATTTATTTCTGGAGCAATTTGCTTCTAGTTTGTCTGTCTCCTTCTATCCCCTCCGCTTGTACTGTTTGTAGGCTATGGAGCTCTCGAAGTTACGGTGCCTTGCTGAAGCTTTCGTAAATCGCGTGTGCTGTTCACATCTGTGTTTGGATCCCGTGCGTAAGTGACTGCGTGCTGTCGGCCAAGTGCTGACAGCCGGTTTTATTCTTTTTGTACAGATGTCAGTAAAGAACAATGGTGCAACTGAAATGTCTTGTAATGACTGCCTGATATGAGGCCTGACATTAGGAGGGCCCTGTAAGTTTCCTCTGTTATTCTGTCATAGTATATGCTTCGAGTTGAAGGATGGGAATCCCAGCTGACCCACGGATTCCAAGCCCTTGCCACAGCTCGAAGCCCCTCCTGGCAGGGGCCCCGTCCTTCCGCCCCGTCCCGCCCCTTCCGCCGCCGCCTGCCGGCGCTGCCGCCGCCGCTTCCGGACGGGGGATGGGGGGTGGCGGTGGCCGCCGCCGCCGCCGAGGAGAGGCACGGGCAGAGGCACAGGCAGGGCGCGGAGGAGCCGCTGCCGCAGCGCCCAGGGCCGGCGCGGCGGCACCGCCACTCGGCGGCAGGTGAGGCGGGGCGAGCTGCGGGGCCCTTCCCGGGAGGCCCGTACCGGGGACCCTTCCTTCCTTCCTTCCTTCCTTCCTTCCTTCCTTCCTTCCTTCCTTCCTTCCTTCCTTCCTTCCTTCCTTCCTTCCTTCCTTCCTTCCTTCCTTCCTTCCTTCCCGCGGGGCCGCCCCGCAGGTGGGAGCCCCCCGCAGTCGCTGCCCCCGCTGCGGCGTGAACCCCCAGGGTGCGGGCGGGCCCCGCGGGTCTCGGGGCGAAAGGGCTGCCCCGCCGCGGAGGCTGTGCGGGAGAACAGCTTCGCCCACCGGGGGGAAGACGAGCCTCCCGTGCTGCGTGTCCGCGCTAGAATCCGCTCCGCCGTAATTACCGCGCCCGCCCGGCCCGGCACATCTCTGCCCAGCGTGAGCGCCCGGCCCGGGGACGCCCGCTGCGCGCTGGGGCGATGTCGGCGGCGCTGTTCGGGCTGAAGGGGTCAGTCAGCCCTAGTGCCCGGCTGTGCCGCTTTCGGGATGAACTTTGCCAGCCTCGTTAGGAGGGGCGTGCGAAGGTGTGGGACGGGCACCCCGGCAGGGGGCCGGGGCCTGCGGGCCCTGTGCGGTTTGCAGTGGGGCCTGGGGGCAGAGGGGACCGTGTGCTTTCTGATTCCCGCGTCAGCCTCCGCAGCTAACAGATCGTTCCTGCAAAAGATGCTTTGTGTCGGTCTTACAGTCAGATAACAAGACGGTTGTACCGGGTCGAAATAGATATTCTTACTACTTTTTTCAATAAAATTGGTGTGTTTTCTGAGGACAAAATGTTCAGTTTTGAATAAAAATGTTGTTGAGTGCATAGGTTTTGATTATTAACAAGGCAGTGTGGAACAGTGCTGTTACTGGTTTGCATGTTGCTCTTCGAGATTCATGGTTAAATGCTGGGGTCTGCCTGTGGGGACAGTGTTTGTGCAAGTTTAGGGGCTGAGCATAAGGAAGCTGAAACTACTGGAACTGTTACCCACTGAGTCTCTTAAGTCTATATTACTGATGCATTATGTGGTCTTATTCTCTTAGTTATTGCTGATTGCTGTTAAAAAACTCCCAGCACTTCAAAAAGGTAGGTTTTCGCAGCTCCCTGAGTTAATGGATGAGGCAAATGAGAGGTAGTGTTAATGTTGACGTATTAAGCTGAAGTGGTCTCATGGTTTTGTATTTGAGGCTTCAGTTTGCAAAATTAATTTTATAAAATTTTTTTTATGTGCAATGCTCATTCTGTGTTCTGAGATGACTTGATGGCAAGATTCAACTTGGCTAATGTCTGATCTGTCTCCACAGAGCTCCCTTGTGCAGCTGGACACAGTGTCTGTGCCACCTCCACAGAGCAGCTGATCATGCTGTGCTCTGGAGTGGCAAGAGCTCAGAAGACATTTCCTGGCATTTAAGTGCCCCTCCTGTTTGGTAGGGGGTGCTTCTTGCTGGATATCAGAGGTAAGGAAGTGGCTGTGTCTTTTTCTTCCTTTTGCTTTCTGTGATGTAGAAGAAAGGTGGAACTAACCTGTAGGATTAGTGTGAGGTGATCTTTATACCAGGTGAAAGGAATTTTGTAAAGGTTTTGTTGTGTAAGTACTGCTTAGATGTGAAGGAAATGTTCTGTAGATTTATAAAGCACAAAAATTTTAAATTATCTTGTTTGCTCTTCTATGTGATGTTGTTTTTGCTGGCTGGTTGGGGGTTTATTTTGGTGTGGTACTATTGAAATACAGGTTGGCCTAGGAATTGTAATCTTTTGAGTTTTGTAATACCGCTTTTCTTTGTACAGACCTTGCTTTTGCAGCCCACTTAGCTGGTTGAGGTCCACTAACCATATTACATTGTGCATGTTTGTTTGATAATCACATACCTTTTAGAAGTTTTTTATTCCTTACTTATTTTAATGCATCTAAAATGAGGAAGGCTATTAGATTTTCACTAGACCAGAAAGATGAGATTGTAAATGGTTGTGGAGAGTAAGATGAAACACAGTTTCACTTCAGATATTGTTCTGGTATTCATTTGAATGGAGAATTTGTTCATGTCTTCTATTTCCATTGTAAGATGAGGGTGTGGGAAGAAAAGGGGAGAAAGAAACTGGAGTTGTTACTTCTAAGTTGTATAGGGATAAAGAGCAGCCAACATTCTGTTACAGAAGGGATACACTACTTGAAACCAGAAGAAAAATACTTGACACTTGATATTTAGCATGTAAAATGTTCAAGAACTTAGTCAAATAGTAGTGAAATACTGTGAATGGCATCCTAATATAAGTGGTGGAGTACTTGATCGGTTGTTTAAAAATCACTTGTGTGTGCCTTGAATTATGGCAGTAGGATAAAAATTTGTTTTGTTAGCTGGCTAGTAGATTAGGAGTTGAGCTGCTCTTAGTGTTCACTTGAGTGTAATACAACCTGTTTGGCTTAATGTGGTGTAAGAATCAGGGAGCAATATTTATTCTGTTCGTTTTGATGCAATATGTAACTGTACTTGGTAGTTCTTAAGACAAACGTGGAACTTTCAGGGCTTTCTGTAGTAGCTGCTGTCACTCTTGCATGGAGGTGTCTCAACAGAAAGACTCTGCTAAGAATATAGAACTAATATTTGATCCACATGCTGCACTTCAATAAATAATTCTCAAAAAGCTCATCTTCCTTGATGGCTTAAAACCTAAGACTAAACTAGTGTTACTTTGAGATTTTTTATCTTACCTTCATGCACAGCACTAAGACCTTTGAGTACAGTTAAGCTACTGCTGATCATCTCACTTATGATACCAAAGTCACTAATTAAAATTCAGTGCAAGTTTTACAGCAATATTTATGCATTTGAAATTATTGTATTCTTGCTGCAGGAAAATACATTTTTTGTCCCATGGTGGGCATTGTGCTGTGTTTGATCAATTTTAGGTGTAGTATGGTAGCCATTGTATTTAAAAACTCTTGAAAAATCATGTGTTGTTTTTGCATGTTTTTTTTTTTGTCCTTCTGTTTACAAGATACCTACTGTATTACATGTATCTGGTGGCATTTAGAAGGTAAGGTCTAAGCCACTGTATGCTGTATGGCAGTGAAATCTTTGGTGCTATTTGCTTTAAATAAGCACTGAAGAATTCAGAGTTTCCAGGAAGAACAGGTGACAAGCTTCTCGTGTAAGTCAGAGTCAGCAGAGTAGCTGAGCCTTGTGCTGCATAACAAGGCAGTGCTGTGTGTTCTTTTTCCAGCACAGCATTGCTGACTTGCTGTGTGACAGTAGCTTCATTATTGCAGGCTGGCTCAGCACATGTTTTTGTGTAGCCTTTTTGTGCTGGGGAACCAAGGCCACCAACATGGGCCTTGTCCACATGGGTGAAGTAGCAGCTTTTGCAGGAACAGCCCCTCCCCTGAGGTGTGGGATGTGCTCTAAGCCAACAGACCCAGCAAAGGGGGGGCCAGTTGGTATGGCCTGTATTCAAACTGCAGCTTGAAACCTTCACACAGAAATGTAGGTTAAATCACTTGAGATCTGGTAGTTCTTCAGCATCCTTCCTAAAATCCCTCTCCAGGATGGTGGGAATTGAATCTAGGGGAAAAAATCAAGGGGCAAGGCTCTCCCAGGTACCTGAGGGCAGGTGGTAAAGCAATAATGATGCTGATAGAGATTTTGCATGTGTGTCTAGAATAAACAAAACCAGTCAGCATTCTGCTAACTGCTGCAGACCTAACTAGGTTGCTTAACCCTTCAGCTATGACTCTAATCAAGTTTGCAGCCTAATGTTACTGTGATAGTAATGCTACTTTTCCTTGGCTAGAGTAGTGATAAGCAGATTCTTCTTCCCACATTTTTACCTCAATAGTCTGTAAGCTGGGAAAGTTAGGGAATTAATGGTTGACTGGCAGTGATTCAGTAGATGGGAACATGATAGAATCATGGACCATCATGTTGAGGGAGGTTAATTTTCTCTATATATACATCTAGGAAATTTTGCTGCCAGTCAGCCTCTCAGAGGCATCTTATTTTTTAAGATGCCACAGCCAAATTGTAGGAATGTTTATGGCTCACAAAGTAATGTTCTTCTTTTAAAAAAGTAAATACTTATATATATATATGCAGTTCATATGCATTTGTGTTCATGCTGTTAATTGGCAGGCTGGTGCAAGAAAATGGAACACACAATGCATGCTGTTGACAAGCTTGCTAAGTTTCAAGTCACAGTACCAGGAAAATAATCAGCTGACTAGCCACAGACATTGCTGATGTCTGGCGAAAAGTGTATTTTACCCTCTGACGCTTAAGTCTATGATTGCTTTGTGTTATTCATGTGTGTTATTCATCATTAAATAATGTTACCCATTATTTGGTTTAGTGATAAAACTAGTAATAATGGAAGGCAAAGTAGTTACCAGAGCTGTTTCCTTTCAGAAGACAGGTGCAGTTATCTAGGGGACTTGGCCTCTGCTGCGTTATTCTTACATAGCAGTGTGGTGGTGTAAAAGTTATGCAGCATTCTTCAGCTTCAAAAAGGAACAGGAGCAGTTGCACACAGGGCTCTGTACTGTGTTAGGTGTTAGGATTATTAGGGAAAGTGCCTTTTACCCTTTAAACCACACAAGTGTCACCAATTGAGTAGACTGAAAGGGAAGACAGTTTCTGGATTTAAGAAGTTGCTTTGGCATTGAAAAATGAGTTTAACTGTTGCTGTTGAACAATTAGCTACTTGCTCTGTGTAATGTTTTAAATTTGTGTTTTGTGGTCATTTCTTTGTCTTTTCCAGTTGGTTAAGTGTCTTCTCATTGGCAGTGCTTGAAAACAGAGCAGGTCCTATCAGCTGCATCTTGAGGTTAATGTAGACTTTCTCCCAGGTCCAGCCCATAATGACCTGTGATGGGTGTGCTGATTCAGTGTTGTAAGGTTTCTTTTATTGCACCTTTGGTAAGGTTGGTATTTATTCCAGCAATGCCAGACGAAGGAAGACTAGGCTGCTGTTAGGCTACTTGACTTGTAACAAACGAATAGAATTCTCTTAGGTTAGAGACAGTTTCCTGCCTTTGTCCTCAGAAGTTGCTTTGGTTAGAAGACAGTGCCAGTAAGTTGAGTGTATTTGTGGTCGTGAGTTTCCATTAACTTCTTTTAGAAAACCCATGATGATTACTATGTTATAAAACTCACTGTGATTAACAACTTTTTTTTTTTCAGTATTTAATCTGTATTTCTGAGTAAAGAAAGCTGGAAGTTCAGATAGGCAACTCAAGGTTGTTTATTTTTACTGGTTGTTTTGGATTAGTATAAGAACAATGTTGATAGTACGTTGTTGATGTTGCTCAGTGGTGCTGACCTTGAGTCAAGGAGTTTTTGGTTTCCCCTGCTCTGCCAGTGAGGAGGGGCAGAAGAAGCTGGTAGAGACACAGCCAGGACAGCTGACCTGAACCTGGCCCAAGGAACATTCCATACCATGGAATGCCCTGCTTGGTATATAAATGGAGGGGGGAGGTTGGCCAGGAGGGGCTGACCACTGCTGGGAAGCTGGCTGGACAAAAGTCAGCAGGTGCTGGGCAGTTGTAATGTGCATCACTTGTATTTCTTGGGTGTTGTTCTTCTCTCTTTTTGTTATTTCCACTGCTATTATTACTGTATTTTATGTTATTACCATTATTAAACTGTTCCTATCTCAACCCCTTGGGTTTACCTTTTGTAGTTCTCCCCTCCATCCCACTGCAGGGGGAGTGGGCCCGGACATTTAATTGAATTAAATGTCGTAATTTATTTTATTAGCCATGTGACACCAAAATAATTATTACAGTTATTTTTGTGATACACTTTCAAAAATAGTAAGGTAACATAAAAATGAGAAAATACTCTTATATGGAGAAGGAAGCATGTAGCATATGCAGATACTCTAGTAGTTTTTTTGTTTGTTTGTTTTGGCAATTATTTAAATCAAGATATTAAAGCTTATGTACTTATTGACTGTATATGAGGTATTGAGAAATTTTAGCAATGAATTAAGTACTTTTTGTTAATATACAATCAACTTCTGAGAATATCTTCAGAAGTATCATGCCCTTAATTATTTTAGAAGGGTGTGATTTGGGTCTCATTTTTCTTCTAAAATATTTATTTTGCACTGCTGGGAAATCTCATTTGGCAAATTGAATCTTCTCTGATATAGTATAAAATAGTTTGTGGTTCTGTTGGATGAAAGCCTGAAGAAAAACTTGCATCCAGTAATTATATTAAGAGCACAACAGGTACTGTATCTCCTTAAAAAAAGTGAGAAGGAAAGACGTTCTGTTTTTGGAAGAGCTGTGCCCCTGAAAAAGATGCAGAACTGTGCTGAATATTCATGATGGGTTTGAGTACCAGTTTACTATAGACAGCAGCTAAATAATAGATTAAATACACTGTTTCTTTGCTTTCATTCTGAAAGCCTTGAATGATGTATGTGGCAGTAGTGTATTGTAGTGCCTTGTATTTTCTGAGATTTGGTTGGCATGATTGAAGCATTTTAGTTAATTAGACTGTTTTTTTCGAGTACAAAAGAGCTGTGAAATTGTAGCTCTTTCTTAGATGGTAGCTGTACATGAGCCACCAAATATAAATTATGCACAAATCCATTCTCTACTGCTGTGGGTCTTCAATATTGCATAAACGTTTCAGTACTTTTACTTCACTGGTAGCCTTTCAGAGTTCTGTCGTGTTCCACGGAATGACCCATGGTTAACTTTTTCCTTGGGTGGTGTTCTGGTGACTTGTCACCACCATGTGACTAAAATGTTGCTGAGCTGTCTCTCCTTCCTTCAGGCAGTATTCTAGAGTCAGGAACACAATTATCGAGAAATCTGTATGAAGAGAATACCTCTCTTCTGGTTTTGATGTGTTACTATGCTATCTACTACCACATCAATTTTAAAAATGCTTTGAAGCGTAAACCAGTACTTCATTTCTAGTAATGTTATTTTTGAAAGCTGAGTATTTTAAAGGATTCACAATTCAGTAAGTATCTATCTTAATTATTGAGATCAAACAAAGAAATAGGATGGTTGTACCATCATCATGCAGCTAGCATACTTCAGCTCAATACTGTTGCAGATATCTAGACTTGGGTTTACTTGGAAGGAGTGGGGGAATGTGGGAATCATCAAAGCTTCAGTATGTATTTTAAAACAGTGGGATATATTGGACGGTATGGAAATGTATTATTTCAGCTTTAATTCAGTTTTGTGTGTTTGCTGGCTGTACTTCCTCGTGCAGTTGATGAACTGCAAACAGTGGAAAAGTCTAATGATTAAGCTGGTATTTAAAGAGTAGTATTTGATTTTCATTGCCTCATGTAATTAACAAAGTGGGATTTATTTATTTATTTATTTACAGCAAATTTAGAACAGTATACTGGATGCATCTAGGAAATATTCTGCTTCTTGGACACTTTAGATTTCTATTTAGGAGCAAATGAGATAATCTTAATTTAGTTTTTCTTGAATGAAGAAAAGCATTTTTTTATTACTTACCTTAGAAATTAGGCCTGTTTTTTAGCTATCTCTTATGTAAAATGTCTTGGGCTAATTAAGCATCTAAAATTGCACTACAGACCCTGGCATTTCAGTGATCTGTGTTAAACAGTGGTGTTGTCTCTCTGGGCTGTGCAGCAGGTCGGTGTGACGGGCGGATAAAGGGCAGGATGGCAGGCAATAACCAGCTGTGCATTCGACGCTGGACTACCAAGAACGTGGCCAAGTGGCTGAAGGAAGAAGGCTTCTGTGAATACGTGGATCTTTTGTGCAACAGACACAGGCTGGATGGAATTACCCTGCTGACACTTACTGAGTATGACTTGCGATCCCCTCCTCTGGAGATCAAAATCTTGGGGGATATCAAGAGGCTGATGTTGTCCATACGCAAACTGCAGAAGCAGCACATTGACGTCCTGGAGGAGCTGGGTTACACCAGTGACAGTCATGCTGGCACAGTGTGCCCAGCTGGTTCACCACAGGGGCCAGATTGGTTTTGTAATGGTGAAGTACCTCGGGACTATGATGGACCAATTACTGACTTGAATGGTGATCAGTATCAATATGCAAATGGAAAAAACAAGCATGCCACACGAAGACTGGACCCAGAGTACTGGAAGACAGTTTTAAGTTGTGTGTATGTCTTCATAGTGTTTGGCTTTACATCATTTGTCATGGTGATAGTACACGAGAGAGTACCTGACATGCAAACATATCCACCTCTGCCAGACATATTTCTAGATAGGTAAGAAATTTTCTTTCTAAACAAAATAGTAACGGGATGGTTAAAATATAGGCTGTCTTATTTCTGTTTTCGAAGTTTCATATGCTTTAGAAGAAAGTTTCACGTGCTCTAGAAGATGTCACTGCGAAACAGTAATAAAAGTCTAGTAAGTCCTTCTGCTAAGATGGAAATGTGGATCAATTAGATGCAGAGATTTGGTTTTAGAGGAAAATAAATTGAGTTGTTTTCCATCTAGTTTATATTTAGTTTTACATTTTAAACTCATTACAACACAGTAATTACTTCGTCCATCCTCTCATTCTGATAAAAGCATGATGGGCAGCTGGCATAGATATGCAACCATGTGCATTTTCTGAAATCCAGTTTCTGCTGTGAATCTTAATGTGTCTTGATTTAAAAAAAAACTTCAAATGAAGGAATATTTTGGTCTGTGAGTGAGCAAGGAAATTAAAAGGGAACAGCATTGGTACTGTATTTTTACTGTCTTCCCACTCTCAGCTTGCTGAAATGGTCTAGGGAAACTCTGAAGTTGAATGAAAAGACCAGCATCTCTTTTAACAGGTTATTAAACCACTGTTGTGGCTTATGCAGTACCTGTTCATTTTTTAAAAGAAAATATTTCACTTCAGGCAAAGAAGAGACACAATGGCAAAGGTCAAATTCTAGTCATTGACAACAGGTTTAATAGAGGATAAATGTTCCTTTTGAGAAAGGCACTTGCACCATGGAGAACTTAACTGCCTAGAGAGTTTTAAGAGATGAGCTAAACTGTTATAAAGTTCAGTCGTTGTGATCTTCCTGGTCCTGCCAGTAATTTCCATTTTCATTAATGGCTTTCAAGAAGTTAGTAAGACTCTAATCTTTTGAGTCAGTGTGCAGAATCCCCCATAAATGCATATATAACTCATCAAGGACAGACCACACCCGGCAGAGGGGAAGAGGGGAGAGAGAACAGGAGCTGTGGCATTACTGGATTTTGTTGCCAGGGTGCTCCCACGGTATTCAGTGCGCAGGAGGATGGGGAAGGCCAGAAAGCAGCAGCTCAGGGGGCAACAAACAGGAGATTACTACAAAGCTCATGTTTGAGCGGTGCTTTGCTACTTTGTATCAGAGGGATCTGTATTTAGGTGAGTGCAGAGTGGGAATTGTTACTGGTGCCTTATGAGTGCAAGAAGGTCTTAGATCTTTTGACAGGGAAGGCTGAAATGTTTTCATGTAGTGATTATTGCTGAGGTTTAGAAAACAACTTTTATTTTCCCTGATACTATTCTGTGCAGTTCTGCTTCATTACAAGTGTTTACTGTTTTTGGCCTTGCAGCATTTAATTCATTGTGTTGACATGGCATTCTTGCAGGCATAAGCAGCATAATTGACATGATGCAAGTTTTTGTCAGAATGAAAAAGGTTGTTGTGAAACAATAGTGGAGGAACACATCCTGTTAGTGTCACGTGTGAATTAAGAGAGCATACTAGAGATTTTCCCTTGGTGAATTCTGTGTAAACTGGAAAAACATTATTAGGAAGGAGATAACATAACTGACTATATTTCAAATTCTATTTCATTCAGTCTAACAAAAGTATTTTTGGCTGTAGTTTATACTATTGTCAGACGAATGCAAATTAGTTTTGAGGTTGGAACCTGACATGCCCTTATTTTCAATACCAATACTAGGAAAAAAATTAAGCCTTTGTATTAACTTTCTGCTTTGTCTTTTTTTTTTAGCGTCCCTAGGATACCATGGGCTTTTGCTATGACTGAAGTATGTGGTGTAATTCTTTGCTACATTTGGCTCTTGGTTCTTCTACTTCACAAACACAGGTAGATTTTATAAAATCCAAATTAACTGGTATTTTGATGCAGAGAAAAGACCTTAACAAGAATTTATTATGATTTTTTAAGAAGTTCCATTCCGTAAGAATCTTGTCAACTCCTAGTATGTCTCTGTTAAAATGGATTCGGGAGGATTTAAGCAAGAATGATGGCTTGTGAATCTTTCAAAGGAGTAATCTGAATTTACTTTTCTACCATATTTATGAGTAATTTCCTTTAGAACATAGGTATTTCAAAGAGCTGTCAGTATACAAACTCATGCTATAACAGCTTTGTATATAAGAAAGTGCCACAAGAATTAATTACCACAGGGTGTCTGAGACAGCCTGGCAATTTGCTTTCACAGAGGGATAGAAAATGCTTTTGTGTGCATGCATATTTTAAGTTAAATTTTCACTTGTTCATTGATTTTTATCAGTTTTCCAACAGAAGGTATGAGTGCCAAAGCTAGCACAAGAGTAGCTGCAGAGGTGGAACTGTACCTTTTGGTGACAGTAATCTTGCTACAATGTCTCACCGTGTCATGTGGAACCTTATTTTTACAGTACTACTTAATTGGAAAAAAAAAAAAAATTGTTGTGAAACTAGTAGTGATGATGACAGGACTTAATGGGATTAAGTTGGGGTGAGGTGAAATGTTTTTATCATAACTTCCCTGATCTCAGTTCCTGTGTACTTTCCCAGATCCATCCTGCTGCGCAGGCTGTGCAGCCTCATGGGGACAGTATTTCTATTACGCTGCATTACAATGTTTGTTACCTCACTCTCTGTGCCAGGACAGCACTTGCAGTGTACTGGAAAGGTAAAACTTTCAAGTGCTTTAGAGTATTTTTCCTGTTTCCTTTTGTAAAAAAATACTTAAGACATGATTAAGATTGTTGTAACCATAGTGTTAGATTCGTGCTTTTTAAAAACATCATGTTTCTCTCCTGTTTCCTTGTCCTTGCACTAATTGCCATAGGCAGGCAAACATTCCTAGGGGTCTCAGAAGCACTTGCCACTCTGGAGAGTATATGGTTATTTGGGGAAGGGTGTTCAGAATGTTTCATACTGTAAAACAGAGATAGAGGTGTGTGCACTTAAGCTACTAACTTCATGAAGAGAGACTGAAAGGGAAGTAATAGTTTCTTTGTCTTGTTGGTTGCATGGTTTTGAAAAAAAACCCCAACAAACTATTACTATTTGACGCCTTCTCATAAGGGGTATTCTTAGAACATGGGATTTTATGGTTTCATCCTAACTTTTAGTTAGGAGAGGTTTGAGCTGAACAAATGGAAAGCTTGATAATGATACCTTTGGGAGACTGAACACATTAAAAAAAACGTGACAGGCTCTGTGGGTAAATCACTTGGAACAAAATACTTGCTCTAATTTCCAGTATTCATAAAAGGTATGATGAATACAATTAGTAATTGCAGTTACTAATGTGACTCAGTGCCACAGTGAAATCCAAAGGTGTGCTAACCTGCATTTTAATAAAAGGCACAACTTGATAAATGGTATTAAATCAAACATAGTGCAATACAGCTAACTTTAGGGATATACTATTTGGGCAGTGGAGTTGGAACTTAGTAAAGGTTAATATCACTGTTTTTCAGTTGTATGGCAATGTTTGGGCCAAACTCCAGCGGGCATTTGCAATATGGAGTGGCTTTGGAATGACTCTGACTGGAGTGCATACATGTGGAGATTATATGTTCAGTGGTCACACTGTCGTCCTGACCATGCTCAACTTCTTTGTCACAGAATGTGAGTACAGCGTGTCAATACTCAAATGTCCTTAAGAGTATGTACAGAGGTGTGAGAGTGTAAACATTTGAATGTCCTTAAGTATTACGAGTATCTGCCTCTTGACCTCCTCAAAAAGTTCAAAGTGTAACATTTAAGCAAACAAATACAATTTCAGATTGCTGTGCTCTTTCTCAGGTTTGTGACAGCCAAGTCCCAGCGAGGAAAGGAACACCACCTCCTTGCATGGTGGGGATGAATAAGGCACTTTTCAATGAGCATGTGAGCCAAGAAGTTAGAAAGGCTTCCTGGCTTGCTGCTGGGAGAATACTTTGAAGATACTTAGGATTGTCTGTTACTATTCCCTTCCCTAGGTATCTGCCACTGACTCCTGTTGGCCAAAACACCTGGCGAGGTTTCTGTACATTTAGAATAATCCATAAAGCCAAACACCAAACCCCATAGCAAGTGAGAATAGATGAAACAGCAGAACCCTTCTGTAAACACCAACAGTGATTTGATACATGTTATAGCAAGCAGAGATAATTAGTTTGAGTTCAGCTGTAATGTAATGACTGCAATCAGGGTAATGTAGCTTTTGTTATGTCTTCCTCCTTGTAACATGGGAAAGACATGATTTTCATTAAAAGAAGTAGGTTGAACAAAGAATTCTGATTTGTAGGGTGCTAAACCATTTAAGGATGCTCTTGTTAATCCAGAAGTGCATTTGTAAATGAAGTAATGAACTGATAGACATATGTAACTTGTGTGGTTGCTTTTGTTGGATTTATTGGACCTGTATACAACATTTTCGAATGAAGAGAGTAACTTCGTCTCATTTTTGGTTGAAAAAACTATACAGAAACTTGGAATGTCTAGGCCTGCATCTTGAGACAGTCAAGGTTAATCATGTTCTGTTTTCTCCTAGATACGCCAAGGAGCTGGAACTTCTTGCACACCTTGTCCTGGGTCCTGAACCTCTTTGGAATCTTCTTCATTTTGGCTGCACATGAACATTATTCTATAGATGTCTTCATTGCCTTTTACATCACGACAAGGCTCTTTTTGTATTACCATACATTGGCTAATACTAGAGCATATCATCAGAGTAGGAGGGCAAGAATATGGTTTCCAATGTTTTCTTTTTTTGAATGCAATGTTAATGGTACTGTCCCCAATGAGTATTGCTGGCCCTTTTCAAAACCTACTATACTAAAAAGATTAATTGGTTGAAGACTGTGTGGGTCAGTTCAGATTTTTATGAAGCACTATGACTAAGATTCTACAAGGCTAGCTACAAGGGGGAAGTCAAGTAACATTTTTCACTCCATGATCTCCTCCTTGCCTTGTTTCTTGGATTCTTAGCCATAAAATGGGGTTTCCATGCTTTACAGGGACGTGTTTTGTTTTCTCCTTGAGAAAACAGAAAACAATGCAGGGATGGGTGAAGGCTATCAGTGAAGCACGAATATAAACCAGAATACTGTTACCCTTGGTAAGGTTCTGTGTGAATGTTTATGGACCATTAACCTGAAATATGTATTGAATATAACACACTCTCTACAGGTCCAGATAGTCTTTGTTTCCCGAGTGCCAGCTTTTACATATACTGACAAAAAAATTAGAACTTTATAAAGCCTTTCTTTGAAAGCAGTCATAAATTTAATTTTTAAAACAAACTGTGTATATTTAAAGACTGAGGAGATCTGTGTCATAATGAAAAAAAACAGTATAGTTCCATGCTGAGAGGGTCTCTTAATTGTTAAATCACAAGTTTGACAATATAAATGGTCTGTATACAGGTTGCCAAAAATGAAAGTCTGCCTTGTGGTTTTGCAGTGATGATATTTTTTTAAATGAGAACTTATTTAGTCTAGTCTATCAGTTGTCTGTATGGTTGTTTTAGCACTTGAAAGTTTTCCCTTTTGTGTTTAAATGAGTTACAGTAAGTGGAACATCCACTGAAAGTAAACTTAGCTTTAGTGAGTTTAAAGCCACAAAGTAACTTCTGTGTGGTCTTAATTGCTTTATACCAAACTCATGCATGCTTTTCAGGAGCAGTTCTTTAATGTTGGCAAAACAGAACAGTTGTTTTGTGTATCTTACTGTCCTGTAAATGGATGGGAAAAATGCATGTAGTAACTCTTTCAGGAATAGTGATAATAGTGAGTATTGGAAATAGTGCTTATTTTGATGTATGTTTTAGCACTCTGGTGTCAACAATATGGTGAATATCTCTGGATATATATATGCACAGTATATTTGGTTATATATATAAACACACAGTATATGTTTTTCTAACAACTATGAAAAGAGGCTAGTTCTTAATTTAAGTTGCTCATTTACTACCTTGAAAGATACCATAAACAGCTGAGTTTTGCTTGTTGATAAAAACCAAACCATAACCCACAACAAAACATCCCCCAAAACCCCAAACCAACACTCTCAGTCCATAATGCATGAGCAGGGTCACACAAGGGATGGTGATCTCTTAGGCAGTGGATTGTAAGGGGACAATACTAATGTTGTCTGTAGAGCCTTGAAATTAGATTTGTGGTAAGTGAAAACTGATAGGTACAAGGTACAAAATCATAAAAATGGCCTAGACCTTTTAATTTGATTATTGCAACTTCTGATGTGCAAATGTAGTGTAAGTCAGTTTCAGAAAGTTACACAAATAATTCCCAGCTTGGTACCAGCTGACCTAATGGGCACTATGTACTTGTGTGTGCATAGAATCCACTTGGAATTTGCAAGCTTTTTGTTTGGGGGCTTGTAACCTGAGAAAGTTACACAAATAATTCCCAGCTTGGTACCAGCTGACCTAATGGGCACTATGTACTTGTGTGTGCATAGAAATGAATCCACTTGGAATTTGCAAGGTTTTTTGTTTGGGGGCTTGTAACCTACTGTGGGCTACTCCTTGCTGTATTGTGTTCCTTTTATAAACCTTGATTGTACTAACTTGACTACCTAACACTCTTCATAGTATATTACTTTTCTAAGTTAATTTAGCTCCTATTCCACAGAAGAATTATGCATCTTGGAGTATCTCTGCCAACTTTAATGAGCACATGTACACTGCACTATTACAGAGATTTTTATATTTGTAACATTCCAATTTTTTTAGCAAAATTGCAGGTTTAATAATATATTGTTCAATCTACCATAGCCTGATGGCTTTTGCCATCCAAATTGGGGAAGTATACTTACACTTAAAAAAAAGGAGAAAATATTCTGAAAGATTTAAAGACTTGCCATTTGCTGCTCTTAACTTTCTGATTTCAGAAAGGCAATTTGAACATTCCTCTTGAGACTTTATAATGAAAAAGTTCTATTTCTTAACTTATATTTGCCTTTGCAATGCACACAGTTATGAATGCTGTTTTTCTAAACTCTAGGAAACATCTGTTCTCAGGATATGCAGGGATTGTAATCTGAGCTATTTGGAGAGGTATGCAATTAAACCTGCAAAGCTGTTGATTATGAAAATAACCATTTGAGTAGTAACTGGCATAACTGCATCTAAACTGAAATACTATTCTGCAACTCAGACGTGCAGGAGAATTTTCAAGTACAGCCCAGTGTAACAATGTTTACAGAAAGTAAAGCTGTCATTTCAATAATTTTTTTTGTAGTGAAGTTCATATACATTGAAACGTAAATTCTTTGTTCTAATTTAATTTTTAAATTCTGTTAAGTAAATTGTGTTTTAAATCAGCCTTGTCTATCATTGTTTTTTAAAAGAAGCTTTTTGTTTTGTGGTGTTTCCCTTGATGCTAGATACCTAAGTCCAGGATAAGTAATAGAAAATGGTTGGTATTGTTAGCTTTGGAGTGGATTGAAGCATGATCAGGGTAATTGTCCTCTGCTGTTTTGGAAGTTCATTGTGTCTGTCTGTAAACATGCAAGAGGAAAGCTTGAAGTTGATAGAAGACATAAAAATGTGATCTTGCTTCCAAGAGAGCACAGGTCAGTCTGTAAAGTTAGGAATGTGAGCTTTATTGTTAATTAGATGGAAACAAGTTGATGGTTACTGATAGGCTTAACATTTTGTACGTCATTTGGAGTCAGTGTTTTAAAAGAATTTTGCAGCTTCTGTTGCTGACAAGCACTTTTAAGTAAAGGTAGCAGAGCACCTTGGGCCTTGGATTTAATGCTTAGTATGTTCAGGGATGTCTTTATGTTCACATGCCACCACATACCCATCCTTTAACATGTTGCACCTCTTTTATGCTAAGTTGTTTTCTGTGGTCTGTGTGAGTACCCACATAATCTGAACCCAGAATAATGAATTTCTTACTCTGTAATGCCAGCAAGTGCAACAACATTAGTACTACAAAGTGCACAAATGAATCAAGTAGCAAAGTCTGAAATTAGTAACCATATATCTATAAAAGAAGGGGAGGGTCACTTTTTTTTGCTAGCTTAGCAGATTTAGTAATATTTGAGACTTGGCAATAGGGTTGAGCTCTTCCTAATAAGTTTGGGGATATGTGTGCACACACCTGCAAGTGATAGACACACAGGCTCTTCCCCCATCATTTTTCTTTGTTTTTTTTTCTACCTTATGACACAGTTTCTTATAATAGTTTTCCTAAACTTTTTGCCTTTAGTTTTTAATTTCTGAAAGATCCCTGAAGTGTCTTATGACATTACACCTGCACAGAATTAGACCTTCATAGATGTGGTTTTTAACAAATTCTGATTACACTGACAAAAACTTATGAAAGGGTCTTTAAGCAAGGTTCTCCAACTGATCTTGAACAATGCTATAGAAAACTTCCATATATGCAGTTTATCTTCATGTCCAGTGGCAAACATGGTAACAGACCAAGTGTCAGTACAGAAATGTAGATAGGCTTTTTTTGTAGATAGGAAGTATTTAAATATCCAAGATTAGCAAGAATTGGATCCCATAAGTGCACTGTTTGACTTGTATGCTTAACTTCAAGAAAATTACTAAATACTCTTGACTTCAGTGAGTGTTACCATTTTAATTTAAACATTTTTTTGGATAAGGCCCAGTGCATACTGTGTGGTATCCTGCTACAGTAATGTGAACAGGTAATGTCACTTTCTTTTTTTATTTTCTCCCCTCCTATCTACTGCAGAAGAAAACATTCCAGTAGAATTTCAAAGAAATTTCTACTTAACTGGGTTCTGAAAGAAGAAATCTGTCAAAAACCAAAAGACTAAATAAAACCTTGATAATTGCCTGTGTTAAGAAGCAAGGGTCAGTTAAATTATTTGGGGGAAAAAGTTATTTTTGATGCAATCATGTTAAATCATTTAGAATTACTGAAACCCTCTAAGGAGGATAAAAGCACAGGTTCCTATAATCTTTTCTATACAGCTGTATCTTGTGTAGTGCCAAAAAGAGAGGAAAGAGCTGGGCTCAGACACCAGTAAGTCTTTTGCAGCAATTAATACCTCCTTGCTTTTTAACCATTGCCTGCATGCTTAGTGCTATACTTGTCGATTACTGTTAGTTTTCTGATGTATGAAAGCCCATTTTGTTTTCAAACATCAGTCACAGAAAAAAAAAAATCCCAAAGAGTAGATTTTATGGACCTGGAGTGTAACAAAAAGAACGTAAAACAACTGTGATAGTTTTTCATCATGTCCATGTAGTTCCTACTGAAAAGTTAGGGAGAATTTGCAGTAATCTACAGACAGTACCGATTTTTTTTTTTTTATAACCATGGGTATCTTTTTAGAAATCTGACCTGTAACTTCAACTACCACCATAGTCTTTTCAAGATAGAAGTATATTTGACAGAAGTCCTAGCAGTGAGAGAGCTTACCCTTTGAATTATTTTGTGCATTAGACTTCAACAATAAGGGTTAATTGATAGACCACTGGTTTATAAAATTATAAAATACAAAATATTTCTGATCTGAATTTGACCTTGTCACTATTCTAATTGAAGCAGTATTCCTGGGGGAGAAAAAGTTCTTTGGAGTGAACCTACTGATGTCTCGTTCATTATATGAAGAAAACCACAAAAAACCCTCACAACTCCTCCAACACTATGGTATTGTGAACACTGAACCTTCCATATAGCAGAATCCTGCAGATGTACCACTTGTGTCCTAACAGATTTGCAGTGAGTATTATGTACGTAATTCAGTGATAGGCACATTTTAAAAGCCAGTTTGTAATAATTGTGTAAGAACTTAAGGTGATAAATGTGGAGCACAATAACCTGACCTATTGGCCCTGACTGTGTAGTTAGAAAGACTAACTGTAACTTAGTTTTGCT